GCCAGCAAATAATTTTGTCTTTTTCTAATTGCCTGCCTGTCTCTACACACACACACACTTTAGAAAGCAGTCCTGATTGTTTTTGATACTTTCAATTGATAACAATTGAATACCTTAGCTCTGTCAGAATGGGAACATGTTTAGAAAGTAAACTGCCCGTTCTTTAATATTGTCTAGGATTGCTGCTAACATATTGGCTGGAAATTTAAACTGATTCCTGTTTCAATGCATCTTGGCATTTGTGCAGATTGTGCACTGCACCTGCCTCATGCTCCAAGAATATGAAGCAACATCAGTATGCAGCTAATTCCAATGCTCCACATCATTCTTTCCACAGTAAAATGTGAGATCTAGTAGATTCTGGATGAAAGGCAGGGAGGATGGAGCTATGGCTGTGATGTATGGTGGCCCCTTTCTCCCCACGCCTTCTAGGAACTATTCTGTTGGCACTCTATGGAGCATTGTCTCCATTGGGTTTTAGGGTGCTGACCGGGCTGGAAGGCAGTGGAAGACAGGATCAGACGCCTGTAAGGCATCATATGTGCTGAGCCAATGGATTTCCATTCAGAAATCCCCTCGGGGTCAATACTGCTTGAAGCAGTACTAACTCTTGGCAGCTGCTTTTGAACAGCCATGTGAGATTTAGTCAAAGGAGGATGATGCCTGAATAAGTCGTGCTAGCAGAGAGGAGCCACAAACTTCCCTGTCTCCCTGGTTCTCAACCTTCCCTTCTATGCTGAGTCCCAGGATCCTCTGGGATTGGAAGCCACATCCCCCTGCCCACTTTGCACCCCATTAGTCCCTCCAACCTCAAGGGATGATATCCTGAAAACTCCATTCTCCTGGAGCTGTTTGCCACCATTGCTCTGTTTTGTGGGAAGGGACAATCTAGTCCAAATGTCAGTCATAGAGACATGTAAAGATCTGTGGGTTAGTTTGCCGACCCTTTCCTAGAATAGCATAGTGGCACCATTAGATAGTATCACTTTTATCTTTTAAATATAACCTCTTTTTCGTTATTGGGTTGCAAAATTCCCCCCACTCGGAACATAAAAACCTCACCAAGTATTTTTTTATTTATTTAAATGCTATGAATATTTAACTTGAGCTAGGACTTAATATAGCAGGTTTCTATGTAGCAGGAATTTTTGTACAGTAATTACAAATCCATGAAAACAAATATTTGTTTGAATGGTACCTTTATTATGTGTTACCAAACATCATTCTAATAATAACATGGTTGGATTGTGCACCCGATTAACAGTTGTCTGCAGATAAATTATTACTGATTGCAAAGGAATTCTCTAATTTGACTCTAAGCATATGCTTACACTGCTGTCATGGGGTGTAATTGCAGCATGTGTAGACATACCTAAGCCAGCTTGCTTGGGTACCAGAGTAGTGAAGCTGCAGTGGTGTGCAAGTAACTAGCCAGGGTCCAAGGTAGGCTTGTATATCCCACTGCTCTGACATCGAAGATAGCTACAGTAAGGCTAGATTAGGTATGTCCACATGATCTGCAATCCCATCCTGAGATTGCAGTGTAGACATACCCGTAGTGATCCGGCACAGAACTCACATCCCAGGGGCAGGCTAAGGTGGCTTGAAGCTTTCTTTCCACCCTCCCAGTCTTGGACTGCCCCAAGCAGCCGTGGCATACCACAGACAGCCCTAAGCGCCCGTCTAAGTTACAGATGCCTCACTGCTTGGAATGACTTTGAGTATATCTACACTGCAGCTGGGAGCAAGCCTCAGAGCCTGGGTAGACAGACATGCGCTAGCTCTGCTTGAGCTAGCCCACTAAAAATAGCAGTGTGGACGTTGCCGTGCAGGTGGCAGCTCTGGCTAGCCACCTCAGTACAGAGCCAGGGTTAGATGGGCTTGTATGTGGACACCCAGCACAAGTCTGTCTCAGTTTAGGGCAACTGCACCTGCATTCCCCCGCCATGCGGGGCACACCCACTCTTAGGCTGCTGGCTCCCAGCTGTCACCTGTCTTGGGTGGAGACATGTGTGTCTCTCGCTCCTGGCCAGGGTGATTCCAGACTGCACAGTTCCCTGCCTACACTGTGAATTCCCCAGCAAGACATTCTGTCTTATCAGGCCAGTTTGCCCTTCTTTCTCAGAGGCTATAAAAAATGTAATTGCTCACAGTAAAGTTCCCACACAGCTCTTTCAAAGCAAGTATGGTTATTCATAAGGTGAAAGCATTACAGAGAACACAGATTAAAAACAATGAAAGAACCTCCATGCATGCTAATAAGCTTACCAGAGATCACCCCAGTTTTAACCAGGGCTCTTTATACCCTACCATGGGGTTGTTTGTGGTCATATGTTCATAACGACCTTGTCTCCAAAGCTGTGAGTCCCTCCTTGATAGACTTTGGGTCTTTGATTTGGGAATAGGTAATTCATAGACAATGGGCCGCCTCCTCCTCAGGGCAAAGGTTCATAGGGCTGATGTCCTGCGTAACTGGAGAGGTTATATTCACATACCCCTCCCCCAAGAGATTTCCCAGAAAACCCATTTAACTTTAAGCACATTGTTTCAATTAGTCCTTTTGAAGCTCATTACACTTTCCAGGGTTTACATGAGTCAGGTCCCCTCCCTAGGGACATTACATACAATCCCACAATAATACATAAACATTTGCATTTTAATACAATGAACTGAAAGGATACTTAAACTTAATTCAATAAGGATTATCCAGGATATTGCAGGAAATTGCCATATTTATCACACCATCCACCTCCCTTTTGGGGAACCTCTTTCCTGGGGTCTCTCTCTCTCCCCTCATCCCTCTAATTTTTGCAGGTCTGCACCCTTCTCTCTTCCTCTCCTCTCCCTACAATCGCCCTGACTTATCCCTGGTTTGATGAACTGCGATTTCTCTGAGAGTTTCCCTCAGTACTGTGGGAAGAGATGATGTAGCTCTCCTGAATCTCCTTTCCTACTTTGTAGGTCTTACACTTCCATCCCTCCTATTTCTCAGTCCCCTAACCCCTTCAGATCTCATTGTCTTTAGCTCCCTCCCCACAATCACATGTAGAGTCCTTACTTCCACCTCACAGCACCCACAGCATTTCAGTAAACCCCTTTATGTTGACAGCCCAGCCTTACAACCCCCCAAAGCACTCTTCAGTCCACTCTTCACCAACATCCCCCAGACTCTCCTCACACAGCATTTTGTCACCCTCAAGTACACAGCTCTTTAGTGTCCCCCTAACACAGAGAGCCCCACACTCCTTCCGCCTTTCCTCACACACACACACAACCCATTGTGCTCTCCTCAGGTTTCTGCACACACACTCTTCAGTCTCCACTCAGGTGCCTTCACACTCCTTCCTCTCTCTCTCCCCCTCACACAACGCCTGCTTCCTTCTTGCCTTCTCTCTTTTACACCCTCCTAGTCCTCTCTCTCTCTCTCTCTCTCTCTCTCACACACACACACACACACACACACACACACAGAGCTTCTTCCTTCCCCATCCCAGTATTGTTAATCCCAAAAGTTAAAGAAAATTATGTTTCCGGTCCCTAAAAATTATGAGGTTTAAAACAATATAATACATTTTAAGTTTATTTGCTTTTTGATCCTCTAACAATCATGTTTTCAAGTTTTCACTACAACCATGAGGGCTATAAACTTCCTCTTTTTAAAAAAAAAGTGAAAGTTGGGGTTTTACTTACTTGCATGACTCCAGGAGCTGGAAATTTAAGGAAAATGCCAAGCGTGACAAAATTGTGAGTGGGCAAAACTGCCTCCCCTCTTAAACACATGCAGCACCACAGCCTTTAACTGCTCCACACAAACATAGTGTCACAACCTTTTATCACCCCCCAAGATGTATACAATTGCTATAGCTCTTTATCCTTTCACACACTTTCTCAGTCCCACAACTTTTCACGTCTCCTCCAAAGACACATGCAGTCACACTGTTGTTCTGCCCCATGCAAATGTCCCATAGCCTTTCAGTTCCCTCACCACACATGTAAAGTTCCACAGCTTTTCACCCCCACACATATTGTCCCATAGCTCTTCACCACACATACACACAGTCCCACAGCCTTTCACATATCCTTTATAGAGACATATACAGACCCACAATCCTTCAGCTCCTCCCCCTCCCCCCAGACACAAAGAATATCTCTTCACTGCATTGAAAAGCTTGGGTCTGTGGGACCTGGTCCTGAAGACTCAGTGTTTCCAAGCAAGGCTTGAGAACTCACACTGCATAGTAACCTGGGTTTACAATTGCTTGACCTGGGTCTCTCAGCTGTGCTACTGTGTCCATACTGCACTCAGATCTATGGCTTGAAGTGTGTTCAAATTACAACATGACAGGGCTTGGACCCGAGTTGCAGCAGGACTCAGCTCCTTAGCAAGGTTCTGGGACCCGGGTGCCGAGTGCTTGCTGACCCAAGTCAGACTGATTTGTGTGTGGATGGAAGCGGGGCTTGGGTTCGGACTAAGTCAGAGCCCAGGCTTAGTGTGTGCGGTAGACATATGGAGCCCTTCACTCTTCCCCCCACCCCACCCCCAACACACACATATAGCCCCACAGCCCTTCACCTCCCCCCCGCACACACACCTTCCCCACACATCACCCTAATGTGAGTCTGTCATGTCTGGGTGGGGAGGTCTGTGCTGGTGCTCTCTGTCACTTCCTTTTCCACACTGCAGTGAGGGGCATAAAGTCTGACAGGAAAGCTGTGAGCCAGGGCACAGGTAGTGAATGGGCTCGCTGCTACCTGGTGTGTGGAGTTAGATGTGGGCAGCAGCTCAGCACCTCTATTTGAAGGGAGGCAAGGAGTGCAGGGCTTTCTATGCAAACCATGTTCAGTGCTGGGAGCTCTAGCTGGGGAGGCTGTGGGGGGTGAATTGTGTGGTGAGGTACCCTAGCGCCTCCCTGTGTGCACAGGCCTGGGAGAGGCTCTAAACCATGCAGGAGGGGAGGTGGCATGCTGGGCGCACACCAGAGCAGGAGGATGCCACTTACCAAAGAGAGTATTGATGAAGCCATACCAGATGCAGCCACCTGGCCCGATGAGCCAGCGTCCCTGAGTGCTGGCGGCAAAGCTGAACGGGGTGCCCATGATGCACACCATCATGTCGCTCACAGAGATGTTCATCAGCAGCAGGTTAATCGGAGACTGTAGCACTTTATTCCTGCAGAAAAGTATCAGGACCAAGAGATTATTGAGGAAGCCCAGGGTCCCGATGATGCCAAGGCAGATGGCAGTGATCAGGTGGCCAGTGGGACTCAAATTCTGCTCTTGTCCATGTCTCTGGTTGCTGCTGTTGCTGCACCAAACACTGTTAACACCACTGCAACTGTGGCTGATGTTAGGCACGGTCATCTCAGTAGGTCTCTTTCCAGATCTGCTCCAGCTGCTTGCCACTGCAACTGTGGCTGATGTTAGGCACGGTCATCTCAGTAGGTCTCTTTCCAGATCTGCTCCAGCTGCTTGGATAAGCATTGCAATATCAGCAGAGTAAAATCTCTTATGCACATACCAACACACACCCACAACCCACTAAAAAGCCCTCACTCTCTTACATGTGTGTGTATATATATATATATATAAAAAATATATAATAGTTTCTACTTAGGTAAAACTGCAACATCAATGAGTTAAATGTAGAAAGCATTTGTTTCTTTCTTTAATGCTCCACCATGTGGCTGTTAGGAGCTGGCTCTTTCTGTCTTCCTCATTTGTGCCTGGTGTAGAGTATGAAATAAAAAAATGTAACCGCAGCTACCTGATAATAAAATGTAGGTCAGGAAAACGTACACAGAAAGGGGCTGATCCTAATCCAGAAGGCCAACAGACTACTTACCATGCAAAAATGAGGGAGTGAATTAGGTGCCTGTTTTACCTGCTGTCTTTTATTTTTTTAAATCTTAATGGGAAGGTGACAGTACTCTGGATTGTTACAGTATCAAACCAGTTTTCAAAGAGTTCTATAAATTGCAACATCTGGGGAATAAAAAAGAAGCTAGAATGATAAGTCGCAGGAAAGTCTTTAGCATTTAAGTGCCAGCTGAAATGTACCACTGTCACAGAGCTATATAATACAAAATGCACGTAGCTGTAACATAGACTACTGTAAGGCATTTTTTTCCTTTGGAAAAATGTTTGTAATATGTAAATCAAAGTCCTAAAGAAAACTGATTGATCAGTGACCTAGTCCTTATTAGTAATCAGCAGGAGTTAAAGTATGAACTGTTTGACACAAATACAACAAATGTTTTCACGATGAGTTTTGATCTCTGAAAGTACAGAGAGGAGCTTGCTAATGAGTATCCAGGTTGTCATCATATCCAGATCCATCCAAAAGGAGAGTATGTGGCTCATGCTTATTGCTTAGCATGCAGTCCTAAATGATTTATATCAAGTTTGAGGAAATTGTTTTTATTTTAAATAGGAGTGGGTATTCTCCAACCATTAAAAAGGTATGAAAATATGGCAAACTTCATGCAGCTTCCTATCTACAAGCAATTGGTGTTGAAAGGACACTGTCAAAGGTAATTTTTTTATGTTTCTAACATTGAATCTTGTTTTTAATAGAGAGGAAACAATTCTGTTGCTCTTAGGTTTAATTTTTTTACAGCTTTTTTTTTTCTTTACAAAATGTTAAGTTTTGGACTTAAATTAACTTGAGAACAGACATTAACCTGCCCCCAGTTACATCAATAAGAGTGTGGTTTTAAATAGGTTTAACAATGTACTAGAGCTTTTGTACAATTGCTTTCTAAGTGATACTTCAAAGTATATGAATGCCGCAAAATGTCTAGTTAACTGGATTACCTAGTAACTTGAATTCAAAGGAAAAGTAAGGTAAAAGAAGGACTATTTTACGTCTCACCCCAAAAGAAAAACAACCTCTAAATGGTTTTTCTGCAAACACATGTGCACAGGAGTAGCAAACCCCTTTGGACTGCTCTCAGTTATCACTACAGTGGGAAGAGGTAGGTACTAGAGGTAGACAAAGTTAAGCCATGACAATTATAGAATAATATTTTTCAGTATTATTCCTTTTCTTACCCAAGGGCCCAATCCTTTCAAAGGCTTACACCCATAAATAACTGTACTGATGTGAGTAGTTCATCAGAATTATGCAAATTGACATTTGCTGATCAATTATTATTGGTTTTGCTGTGGTTAATTTTATAGCTGTTGGGAAGTGGTTGTCTGGTTATTTCTGATAATATTGTGTTACATTCCCAAAGAGAATTATTATCAAACACTTGTATTATTGTAGCACTTAGGAACCCTAGTCATGGACCAGGACCCCAGTGTGCTCGGTACTGTATAAATGCAGAACATAAAGACCATTTGTCAAGGTTCCTTCCCCACTCTGAACTCTAGGGTACAGGTGTGGGGACCTGCATGAAAGACCCCCTAAGTTTATTCTTACCAGCTTAGGTTAAAAATTTCCTCAAGGTTCAAACTTTGCCTTGTCCTTGAACCCTATGCTGCCACCACCAAGCGTGTTAAACAAAGAACAGAGAAAGAGCCCACTTGGAGACATCTTCCCCCCAAAATATCCCCCCAAGCCCTACACCCCCTTTCCTGGGGAAGGCTTCATAAAAATCCTCACCAATTTTCACAGGTCAACACAGACCCAAACCCTTGGATCGTAAGAACAATGAAAAAGCAATCAGGTTCTTAAAAGAAGAATTTGAATTGAAGAAAAAGTAAAAGAATCACCTCTGTAAAATCAGGATGGTAAATACCTTACAGGGTAATCAGATTCAAAACATAGAGAATCCCTTTAGGCAAAACCTTAAGTTACAAAAAGACACAAAAACAGGAATATACATTCCATTCATCACAGCTTATTTACCAGCCATTTGAACAAAAGGAAATCTAACGCATTTCTAGCTAGATTGCTTACTAACTTTTTACAGGAGTTCTGAAGAGCATTCCTGATCTGTTCCCGGCAAAAGCATCCCACAGACAGACAGACCCTTTGTTTCCCCCACACCTCCAGCTTTGAAAGTAACTTGTCTCCTCATTGGTCATTTTGGTCAGGTGCCAGCGAGGTTATCCTACCTTCTTAACCCTTTACAGGTGAAAGGGTTTTGCCTCTGGCCAGGAGGGATTTTATAGTTCTGTATACAGAAAGGTGGTTACCCTTCCCTTTATATTTATGACACCATTCCTGCCCTCAAGCGCTTTCAATCTAAGTGTTAGACAAGAGAAAAGAGGTGGATACAGAAAGACCAATGGAGCAGACAAAGGAAACAGTGAAACAGTATTGGTTAACATGATCAGCAGTGGTGTTAGGACATCAGAGGCCCAACTGTTGCCAAGGGTTTTTTTGTAGGCATCATGGCAATGGAGAATTTTAAGCATGGATTTGAAGGAGGCTGATGAGGTACCTTTGCAGATGTTTACAGGTTGCTCTTCCCAAACATGAGGGCCAGCATGGGAGTGTGATGGTGTGCATACCCCACACAGGCAAGAAATGAGTTAATGTGAGCCCGAGAGACCAGTTAACATACTGGGCTGTACTTAGAGGGTGGGCCATGCTTAACTGATGATGCAGCCCAGCTGTGGAGGGACTCGGAGAGGACTACATACAGGAGAAGTTTAGAGCAGAAGGGGGCTGCAGGGAGAGAGTGAAGAACTCTGCAGTCACTTCTATGGGACAAAAGACTGGGGAGACCAGGGTTGGGGGTGAAGCCTAGGGGGAGAGTTGGCCCTGGGTTCCTGTCATAAGTAGGTTTCAGAGTAACAGCCGTGTTAGTCTGTATTTGCAAAAAGAAAAGGAGTACTTGTGGCACCTTAAAGACTAACCAATTTATTTGAGCATAAGCTTTCGTGAGCTACAGCTCACTTCATCAGATATGAAGTGAGCTGTAGCTCACGAAAGCTTATGCTCAAATAAATTGGTTAGTCTCTAAGGTGTCACAAGTACTCCTTTTCTTTTTGTCATAAGTAGAGAAGTCTGGCAAGGGGCCAAGAGAGACTAGAAGTGGCCACTAAGGTGGAGCAGGCTCCAATAGTGAGTCCTGATATAAGGGCAGGACTCAGACTTCCAGGGAGAGAGCCCTGGTAGGCATTCAGTTGAGGAACAAAAGATCATGTCTGATGAGGGCAGAACTTGGTTTTAAGATTGTGTTTTTGCTCTGGGATTTATTGAGGGAATGAGGGGTAATGGACCCTGAGAATCCTGGCACTGAGTAAACCTAGAGAAGTTGTGGGGAAAAGGCCACAGTAGGAAGAAGCCCAGTAAGGTAGAAGGGGCAGGTCAGATAGACAGAGCTTGCCTGGTCACCACAGGGTTCCTAGTCTGGGACCCAGAGGACTGGGAGAGCCTGGATTCCCATCCCAGCCACTGGAAAAGGTGTTATGAAGTCCGATGCCCCAATAAAAGGGGATAAAGACATTCAAAGCACTGAGCCAAGAGGCTACACAGACCATGGGGCCAGAGTTTGGTCCAAAGGCCTGTTGTACAGGCAATGGCCTGCTTGTGTGATTTTTGTTATGCCAGAAGGGTGCTCTTAAACGTGGCCTAGCTGCAGGGCCAAGTTATGGGAAGAGAGACGGCTACAAGGCCAGACTTGCTGTTTACACAGTGCACCAGACAACAAAGATCCTCCTATGCTCTTCCTAGCCACAAGGGGGCACACCAGTGGTGAGTGCAATCTTTTGCAGAGAAAGTAAGAAACTGCTTCTTTGAAAAGTTTACACGTGGGTGATGGACATTTAACATCATTTCAAAAGTTAACGTAATAATAAATTATAGATAATAGGTGGGGGAGGGGAATGACATAAAGGGTTTGAAAATGAAGACAAATAGTTTTGTTTGATGCCATAGAGCAGAGGTCCCCAAACTGTGGGGTATCCCTCCAAGAGGGGTGCACAGTAATGTTTTTTGGGGGGGGGTCAGTTGTGGTCTGAGCCAGATGTAAAAGGAAACTTAGTTTGATAGCATCCTGTCTGGAAAGAACTCACTTATCAATAGCTGGGATGTGAAATCCTCATTTCTTTGTTGTTCTATCACTGTAGTCCCCATTTCCCTATTGTTTGTCTGTATAATCTCTGTCTGGTTCTGTGATTGTTTCTGTCTTCTGTATAATTAATTTTGCTGTGTGTAAACTAATTAAGGTGGTGGGATATAATTGGTTAAATAATCATGTTACAATATGTTATGATTGATTTGTTAAATTTCAGTAAAATGATTGGTTAAGGTATAGCTAAGCAGAACTCAAGGTTTACTATATAGTCTGCAGTCAATCAGGAAGTAAGGGGGGAATGGGAACAGGGAATGGGGGTGGGAAAATTGGAATCATGTTTTGCTAAGGGGGGAATGGGAACAGGGAATGGGGGTGGGGAAATTGGAATCATATTTTGCTAAGGGAGGAAATGGGAACAGGAACACAGATAAGGCTCTGTGGTGTCAGAGCTGGGAAGAGGGACACTAAGGAAGGAAACTGGAATCATGCTTGCTGGAAGTTCACCCCAATAAACATTGAATTGTTTGCACCTTTGGACTTCGGGTATTGTTGCTCTCTGTTCATGCGAGAAGGACCAGGGAAGTAAGCGGGTGAAGGAATAAGCCCCCTAATACATATCAGAGATGGTTGACAACAGAGACAGGTTAGCTGAGAG